AATTAAGAAAATTAGGCGACCTTCTCTCGCCCCGCATCGCGGAAGGCGATCACGGTTTCCGATCCTTCCTAAATCCCGAAACTTGTTCGCTTCGAAGACGATAGGAATTGGATCAATGCGCTTCTCGATATTTTTCCAATCATAATTTTCTTTTTTTTTTTTTCTTTTTTTGGTAAGTAATCAAACGATCCATTGAGGAGAAGAAGTTGAAGAATTTTGAATAAGCTAAAGTAGATATAAAATTCTATTTTATAGAAAAGAGGATTATTTATATATATATTTATATATGTGATCATAATTATAGTTTATAATAAAAAATTGATACATTACATCCATCACATTCTTTTACTTTTGAATTTCTTTTCTCAAACTAAAGAGAATTGAAGTTAAACAAATTTCCTCGATTAGAAAGAAATTGGAAAGAAATTAAGAATTGCCAATGATTATAAATCGAGTATCGATAATAAAATTGGAAAATACCTATAGGATGATTTGGAATTTACATTTCTCAGAGAGTTAAAATAATAAGATACAATGTTAATATCTTTTTTTGAAAGAAGTAGATAATAGAGAGAGAGAAAAAATAGAAGGATTATAGAAAAGTCTCCAGCCACGATTTATCGTTATCGAATCTTCTTAATATGGTCCGAGCGTATCAGTCAGGGAACTTTTTCAATATTAGCCATACCGTAGACAACCGGAGAAAGAGTGATTTTTAACGCGGAATCTTTCCGATATCTCATTATTCCGTCGAGTTCTCGAAAGAACGGAACGTTGCCGAACGACGAACTTGACGCAATCGATTGTGAAATCCTCGAATATTAATGGAAATTAATTCGTCCCGATTAATTTCTCTTTCTGAGCAGGCCGGTATCGGTATCGATTCGCAATTACACACCCGATTACTTTATCCGGCAACACGGAAAATTGATGGAGAATTCCTTTCGAGATCAGTTCTTGCCAGAAATCAGCGAAAATAAAAATTATTCACAGGGAGGGAAAAATTTAATTTAATTTAATTTTCTCGTTAAAAAATCATCTTACTTGTTTTTCTCTCTTTCTTTTTTCTTTTTTTTTTTTTTTTGTGTGTGTATCGAGAAGGATTCGATAAGAATCGCGTGTATAAATATTCGTTGAATCTGGATTCTTAATGCTTCGTGATTTCGCGAGTTGACACACTGAAAATCTTCCCCTGTTAGTTGAATTACCGAAGGATTTACGTGGATTAAGGACTTACCTGAAATTCCGTCGTAGGTCCACCATTCGTCCCAACTGGCCTCGGATTCTGTAAAGCAACGAAACAAACTATTATCGAAGTGTTTGGAACTCGATTACACGTTTCATTAACGCTTACGATCTGTTTATCAACGATAAATATCGAAATAAAAATATCGTGGGAAAGTAACATAATTGCAAATACAATTATCTCTAATAATTTTCCCAATAAATATATATATATTTTTATATTTTTTCGATTAAAATTATTTTCTTTTCTTAAGAAATTTGAGAATAAAAATTATCGTTTCTTTTTTCTCGACATCGAAATTAATTCGAAAATAAAGATACGTGTAAATAGGTTTAAAAGGTGTAAAAAGCGAAATATCTTTCTTGCGCCGCAGAAGTGAATTAACGCGTGGTATTTGCCAGTTTCTTAGAGGCCGCATATCTTTAGAAAGTTTGGATGGAAACTTTAAAGCGCTACGAGGAAGTAGCGAGGAACATCGATCAATCGAACTTCTTGGCATCGAGAAATGATCGATCAATCGATTGAGGCCCGGAATCGAAATTGAACGCGTTCAATGGAGTAATTGTAACTTTCGAAACGCGAAGGAAATATTTCTTTCGAAATATTCGATAATTCGCGAAACAAGTACGTTTAATTTAAATAAAAAAAAAAAGATGGATCGATATTTATCCCTTCCTTTTACATTTAATTAAGAACAATGATTATGTAAAACTGTACATAATTATGCGATAGAATTGTACATAATTAACCTGTTAATTAAAAATAATATTATAAGAATCACTGATTAATTATTATAATTATTCTAACTGAATAAAAACCAACGTCAAATCATTATACCTTAAATAATTGTAAATACAAACAAATCTGAAATAATTTGACTAATTTGCACCAATATTGTATTTTTTACAAAATAAAATAAACAGAATCCTTTCAAAAATACTTCTTATTTTTAATTCGCTCGAACCCACGAAATCATCGTCTTTCTCAAAAAAAAAAAAAAAAAAAAAAAAAAAA